GTTTGCGGAATTTGGAAGTGATTCGAACTAGCTGGCGGCTGCACGGACAAAAGCTGCTCAAGCAACGGTCCAAGTCCGCTCAAGGTACTTGCTAGATGACTTACCTGGTTCTCCAAATTCGAGAGTCTCTGCTGACTTGAACTCCCACCGCCCGGACGAGTCTCTGGAGCACGACGAGTTTCGGAGCGGCCCCTGGATCTCTCGCGGGCAGGTCGATCAGCATTGCCAGAGTCAGCCATGGCTCAAAGATCACTAAGTGAAAGTGGCCAAGGTGTTCTAGAGTGACTTGCAACGCTGTTGACCTATGCTCCCTTTACAGGAGCTCCGCTACCATATGACACTTCAAACCACAAGTTGAACAAGTTGTCAAACTCCAAGAAAAGCAAAATGCAAAACTTGGTACACTTCTCGAACCCTTGTCGGTGTCGGCACGCGACGTCTTCCCACCGCCCAGCTTCCCGGTGCGCGACACTTTTGTCGCGCTTGAGCCATGCCACGATGGCATGTCGAAGTCTCGAATGCGTGTCATCCCTTGTGCAGGGGTCCATGCTCCTCTCTGGTTGGGATGTGGTACACACTCGATTTGTGCACTCGGGGCACATGACTAGTCGGCCAAAAGTGGATTCGTGAATCCACAGCCTGCGGACAAAAGTGCACCAGGCGTCAAGGTGGAGGCCGCAACACGGGTTGGCTGCCCATGCGGGTAGGCTTAGGAAACTACCACAGTAACAAGGCAATAACCGGTGCATTTCAAGTGAATATGCCTTATATGTGTCTATAGATACACGAGTAAATGCAAGAACCCTTTTGGTTGTCAAGAGGTCCATTCAGGTGTCAACTATTCACATCTCCGCCACCACCATCACCACAACCACCATCACCAGCATCACCACCATTAGCATCCCCATCATCAGCATCACCACCAGCACCAACACCAACACCAGCACCAGCACCACGCCGGAAACGTCTAACCTCTTCCCGGCTGCTCAGGTTGTTGAACGTCTTGTTGCTGATTTTAATCATGAGCCGGGGATGGGGAACCACTACGGTCACAAGCCCCATTGCAGCTTCTTGGGACAAATAGGGTGTAACCTCAACAGCTAAGTTATGCCTTGAAGCACTGGTTTTGTTGTTTTCTAGATCAAAATACATCCAAATGATCCAAAATCATTGTGCTCCACCCGAATTCCCCTGCCCGAAAGCTACAAAATTCATCCATCACCACATTGTTAAACCACTATCAGAAACTGGACCTTGGTCATCTCCACGTGAAGTTCCGGATACTGTGCAAACTTCACTGGGCCAGTCAGAGTTGCTGCCTACACTCCCCGTGTTTCGCAGTTCCTAGAAAAAAACAACACACACACACACATCATAATCATACATGTTCGATCTCTGAGAGGATCTCTCCCGCTTTTCACACCTCTCCTTTTCATCCACCCCGCCCGTCCGGGCTGCCCGGGCCATCTGCGCAAAGCGCCGCCCCCCGCCCGACCACGTGCAGATCTCGGGATGACGAGCAGATCGGGAGGACTTTTTGGTTCCAAAGGAATCGCTACGATTCTGGTGGACTGTTGATGAAGAACCCAAATCAGCTCCAACCCCAAGTCATCAAAAACGCAAATCTACCTCAGAAACAGGGACTAGGTGATCCACACCCTGTACAAACACTATCTGAAAAGACTGCTTTTTGGACCATCTGGGAGAGCTGCGCTCTCCTTTTTTGGACCAAGGGCGATGGGGTTTTGTTCCTCAGGAGTCAACATGAAGCCATCGGAGTACCTGAGGTCAGAAGTGTCGGAGTACCTGACTGAGTATCGTTCTAGTCCTTTTGTATCCTTTTGTTGAATTGGTCTATGCTGGAACAACATCATATTGGTTCAAACAAGAGTCGCTGGGCTGTCAGGCCATCTCTGTAAGTGGTGCATCATCGAAACCATCGTGACACACCCCGAACGTCTCAGTGCGAGAACATCGTGTTCGCGCCACGAGAGTGTTCGCGACGACAGTGACCAAACATGTGAGTCGGAAAGGAAGAATTTCATTCTTCTGGAGAAACTTGGAACATATAAATCATATATTTGCCAATTCATATTGTAAACGATTTGTGAACTAAAGTGATCCTCGAATCCTCCAAGGACTTGAGAATCCTCGAAGGTCAGTCTCTTCAAACACCGGGTCTCACGCCGCGGGCGTCCATCTGAAGCCCGAACTCGTGACGACGTCAAATCCGCAGCGTCCTAAACACTGGACATCCGGCCATGTTCATAAGCCCTGCATCTGACAAACACTCTGTACTCGCTTGAGAACATGTCAGAGGTTAAGTGACCTGAACTAGGACCCTACCAGGGTACCGAACTGTTCAACCTTAGAACTGGTTGGTTTGTCTGCCTCGACGTCGTCGTGCCCCTGTCGACCGACCGACCGACCGACCAGGCAAGCGGTTGAGGTCTCCTGGTTTGGACGCCAATCAGTGGAGGTCATCGCTTGTGGGTTGGAGGCCATCCGGATTAGGATGGAGGCCATCGCTACTATAGGTTCCTTTTGGCCATTAGGTGCCATCGCCCTCCATCCCTCCATTGCCCTCGCTCACAATCGCTAATCGCTGAAGCGGCCAGCGTCTCGTTCACTGCAGCTGATTTCAACCAAGTGGGCACCGGCCTTGGTCGTGTGCACCCAAATAAACAACTCACACCTTGAGGGTGAGGGTGAATCGACACTCCCAAACACGACTATATAATGGGACTGACTGACCATATCTGCATACATTGGGGTGGTTGAAAAAGGGGGGTCAATGGGGCGGCAGTCCTATGGCAGTCGTGTCTGGATCGTGTCTGGGTTAGGCATACGCCATACGGGTGAATTCCTTCTGTTCTGTAGACATGCACAGCTTCGGAGCGAAGCACCGAAGCTGAGGTCGAAATCACTACAGCAGCTGTATGGGTCCGAATTTGCAGCTGCTTGATTGCAGCCTGTTTTTGGAATCGAACAGTTCACGTATCTGTAACACCGTCGCTGAACAACTGGATGGCCCGAAACGCTTTCAACCATCCTCAGCTTTGGGAGGACACTAATGATGACATGATCAGTGAAACCAATGTGTTGTCAGTGACCGCTCCCAAAGCCAAAGCCGTGTTTCACGACCGTTGTCCCGTTCTCCTTCTTCTCTTCGCATCCGATGCCTGACGCCGGAACGGCCCAGCGGCAGGTCCAGTCGATGGGCGTCGCGGCGCCACTCCTGGACCAAGAGCTGTAGCCGTTTCACCTGGTCGATGACGGCGTCCCGGTGGGACACCGGTGCGGAAGACGTGCCAGTTCTCGGCGATGGAAGACTGACCGGTGTGCACCGGTCACGTTTGGCGCCATAGGGACTGGGGGGGGGGGCATGTGGAGGACTGAGGGCTGAAGGTACAAGAGACACACCGCTTGAGGGCTGAAGGTACAAGCTGAAGGTACTGAGGACTGAGGGATGTACATAGATTCTTGTGATAAAGCCTCCCAACAGAGGTTGAAGGACCTTATAGACTATCCCTTAGGTACCCCAGTAAGGTCCTGGTTCAGGTCACTTAACCTCTCTTGCTCTCTTTGTAAGAGACACCCGCCCTAAGGGCCCCAGGTGGCCCAGCGCCACGCCCCGGAACGACGTCAAAGTCGACACGTCCTTCGTGGCGTGGTCTGATGATTGGCTTCAAATCATTTCAAATCCATGGTCACAGGTCCGGGTGCCCTCATGGTCTCCTCTTTATTCAATCCATCTACTCCAAGATAGCCTTCTGTGTAAGAGAAGAACATGGGTTCTTGGCATATTACCGGTCCGGCAGATACTTCACAAATCCACCTACTGGTTAGTGAGCTATAGTCACTACACCACCCACAAACCCAGTCTCCCCAGTCGTGCTGCTGACAGCCCGGTCACCAGCACCACGTCACACCGTCACCGATCCGATCGTGAACCGCGTGGCGCCGTCGCGGTCGGACGGGTCGCCTCCTTGAGACTCTTCAAAATGGCCGGATTCCCTGCGGTGCGGCCGAAGACGTCGGAGGAAAACCGCGAAGGAGCCCAGTGTTCTGCCGGGACTTCCAGGTGTTCTGCCGGCAAGCGGCCGGCCTGACTCCCATGCCCGATTTAATGATCCTACATGTCTTTGTGTCAAAATGATTCAACACGTGCAGGGCTGTTTTTGGGTGAGTGCGAAGAGAACCTCTTCACATGGCGAACTGTGCCACGGCGGCCACGCAGTGGCTGAAAATGGTCGTGGAAACCTTAAGGTGGCGGCAAGAATGTTGTATGATACTGGTGGGGACTAGCAAGAGACGGACCAAGTCTCAAACCACCATGCTGTCTCAAGTTGAACTGGATGAACGTGAGGATGGCCTGGAAGATTCATCTTTTGCTTCGTTGGATGTCAACCCGGCTGGTCTCAAATCAAGCTGATTTACCAAGCTGCCGACGACTGGCAGCCTAGAGTGGGCGCTCTCGAGATGAGGTGTCGGACGCCTCTTGGGTCTGAAGATTGTTTGAAAACTTGGATTTGCTGATCAGCGAGTTCAACACCGACCTGCGACGAAAATGACCCCAAAACCCATTCGTTGGGCCCTGGTGTCTCCGGGATTGTATGACACAACCCACCAGGCCCGCCGAGACTTCTTCGTTACGACGTAACAGCTACGTAACAGCTGTAACATATGCACACGTGCAAGAACCAGCTGATCAACCAGGAAAACTGCTCTACTGCTTTGAAACAGTTCTAAACATGATGATTGGCAGCATGGGCGAGCTGTAGCATCTCACATGCCGAGTTCAAACCCAGACTGCCACAATTCATCTGGGCATTTGTCAAAGACCAACCGACGGAAACACAATTCAATTGTGACTAGATCAAGCAATGGCGCTATCACCAGCAGCACACAAAACATAGCAATCCTCCTGAGGGCTTCAGGATTTTTGCGTCTTTGAGTGCTCCAGATCTATTGCTGTACATCTCCTCGGATTCTCATCCTCATCTGAATGGCCATCCTCCACCCTCCTTGTGCGCTGAGTGTGCCCAACCCAACCCGGTTCCAAAGAAAAACACACACAACAACACCTCCCACTGACCGACACTTCTTCACAGGTGTTGTCACCGCGTCTTCAACCGTCACAAAAGTCGCTTCAGCGATGGAAAAGGTGTGTGGTCGTTGGCGACCACTGCTGTCGAACATGACCGTCCCAAGGCAAGGAGGTCTTGCAAGGAGGCTCGTGTCTTCCAAGGATATTTCTCCAAGACTCCACCTAATTATGGAATAGTTACATAGTCACTAGCTAGCAGTCACTAGCAGCACTAGGGTCGCTATGACGATGCATGCATGTAACATGGATGATCTGGCTATCATCAACAATATTTGACTTTGAGTTGCGCAGGAATATAACTATCCCACTTCCCCGCAATCAATTACCCCGGGTCTGCGACATGACACAAAACCAAGTAAGAAAACACAACAGATAAATGATACCTATACACACACTATCCCGTTTAGGTGGCTCCCGGGTATCCCAAATGAACCATCTGCTCCTCCTCTTTCTTCGCCTCCGCTGCATTCTCCTCATCATGGACTTCATCGATGGCAAAGGCCATCGCCACCACCAACGTCGCATCCACCTGAGGTCCTACGACCACATGGTATCGGTTCTCGTTGTCCGTTTGGTAGTAGCCTCGGACCGCAGAGCGACACCGGTGGCCCACTGAAGCGGCCGCTGAAGTGGCCGAAGACAAGGGCGAGGTGAGAAAGGTGAGGTGATGGTTCAGAGACTGGTTCAGAGATGGAGGCATTTGATGGAACAAACATCCCTGTCTTTGTTGGTGCACACTCCTGTTCTCTGCTTGTTCTTATATAGGTGAATGAACCGAATGAACAATTCCAACACTGGGGTCGCTTAATGTCGCCGCCGCTCTGCCGGTGTGGTTGGCCCCCGGCAGGCGCAGCACTTCCGTGTCGTGTGTTGTCTTGCAGCACACGGACTCTCTTAGAAGATTCTTAAGACTACCCGATGCAATGCGCCGCCCAAAAGAAAGAAGACACAAACATGCACACCCTTGAAGAGTTGCAGGTTGGTCCACTAGTTAATCATGGAGATGGACTATCATGCGATTTGCAAAACGGAAGCCAAGAAGCCTCCCTCACAAAGCCCTGGTTCGCAGTAGCAGGTCATGTTTGGGTCCCCTATTTGGAGGCTACCACTCCCTACAGGTCCAGTCTGACCAAGCCAAGGTCCGGTCTGACCACTCCTCAAACCTCACCCCGAGTCGCGTTTTTGTATGACCAACTCCCAGTCTAAACTGAGGTTAGGAACTACGACCACGACCACGACCACGACCACGACCACGACCACGACCACGAC